AACTAAACAAAATATAGACAAGCTATCTACCAGATACAAAGTTCAAAACACTGGTTATTAAGATGTTCAGTGACCTCAGTGAGAATTTCAACAAAGAGATGGGAAACATAAAAATACAGATAGAAAACATAAAAAAGAAGAATGAGGCAGAAATGAAGAACACAATAACTGAAATAATACATTAGAGGGACTCCACAGTAGATTAGATGAAGCAGAGGATAGAATCAGTGATTTGGAAGATAAGATAGCAGAAAACACCCAATCAAAATAGCAAAAGAGAAAAAAAAATAAACAACAACAACAAAAGCAAGGATAGCTTAAGAGGCTTCTGGGACAACATCTAGCATACCAACATTTGCATCACAGGGGTAACAGAAGGAGAAGAAAGACAGCAAGGGATGGAAGATCTATTTGAAGAAATAATGACTGACTACTTCTCTAGCCTGGTGAAGAAAATAGACATTCAAGCCCAGGAAATGCAGAGAGTCCCAAACGAGATGAACCCAAAGAGGCCCACACCAAGACACATCTTAATTAAAATGCCAAAGTTAAAAACAAAGACAGAATCTCAAAAGCAGCAAGAGAAAAGCATTTAATTACCCTACAAGGGAGCTCCCATAAGACTGTCAGATGATTTCTCAACAGAAACTTACAGGCATAAGGGATTTGCGCAAAATATTCAAAGTGAAGAAAACCAAGAACTTACAACCAAGATTATACTACCCAGCAAAGCTATCATTTAGAATTGAGGGACAGATAAAGAGCTTCTCAGACAAGAAAAAGCTGAGAAGGTTCATCCCCACCAAACCAGTATTACATAAAATGTTAGAGGGACTTCTTTAAGAAGAAGAAAAAAAAGATAAAAAATACGAATAGTAAATGGCAATAATTTCATATCTATAAAAAATTACTTTAAATGTAAATGGATTAAATGCTCTCAGCAAATGAATAAAGCTTTTGAATGGATAAGAAAACAAGACCCTTACATATGCTGCCCACAAGGGACAGATCAAAAGATACACACAGATTGAAAGTAAAAGGATGGAAAAGATATTTCATTAAAGTGGAAACAAACAAACAAAAAATCTTATAAAAGACAAAATAGACTTTACAACAAAGGCTATTACAAGAGATAAAAAGGATTCAGTAATACCACTTCTGGGTATTTACCCAAACAAACTCAAAACAGTACTTCAAAGACGTGTGCATCCATAGTTTTATTGCAGCATTATTTACAATAGCCAAGATATGGAGGCAACCTGGGTGTCCATCAATGGATGAATGGATAAAAAAGAGGTGATACATATATACAATGGGATATTACTCAGCCATAAAAAACAATATCTTGCCCTTTGCAACAACGTGGATGGACCTACAGGGTATTGTGTTGAGCGGGGTAAGTCAGACAGAGAAAAGCAAATCGCATGATTTCATTTATATGTGGAATCTAAAGAGCAATACTTTTCAGATTAAAAGCTCTAAATATGTGGAAAGTAGTTACATTTTTATAGTTCTTCGTTTTGGGCAATGTGCAGGATAGCACCAAAATTCGATTCAATTCAAAATTTAGCCAAGTATTTCATTGAATTTTCAGGATTGTTTCTGTCAAGTTGTATAAACTCTTTTGTGGAATATGATAAAATCAATTTCAAATAATTTACAAAATGTTATAAAATATTGATACATCTTGTTTTTTAATTCATATAAATAAATAATTTGTTTCATAATATGCTTCTTAAGAATATATTGAAACTGCATAAGTAACCCATCAATTCAACATTGGTTTACAAAATAAGTATTAATTTTGTTGAATAACTGGTCATTTAAAGAACACTTGCTTTTACTGAATGACTAAAATGTGGCTGCACTAACAGAATTCATCAAAGTGATAAAATTAATTGAGAATTATAGGACAAGCTCTAAAGTCGTAGATAACTTGTGGTAACATAGTGTAGCAATTTGGTCACATTTTAAGAATCATTCATTCATATAACATGATTGCTAGGTTTTTTTATTGATATTGTAATACAATTATTTTCTTATGCAATGAATTTTCTATAACATTATAATTTTTAAGTTAGTCAACTGGCTGCATCATTTTTCAGTCATTTATATCTCATTGCGCTAAAGTGGCTTTTAGCTCTAAAATCATGGTGTACTCTTCTTTTTAAAAAATCTATGTGGAAACTTTGGTCTATGATCTCTATAAAAAATTTGGTTTTGTTTTCTATTTACATTGCATTTGGTTTTTAAGATTATGCAGGTTTTATAAAGCAAATTGAGAAAAAAATTATTTTTTCTATGATGTATAACAATTTAAAATTCTGGTTTATGTTTCTAACAATATAGAACTGTACTACAAAAAAAGAGCAAAATAAAGAAACAAACAAAACAGAAACAAACTCATAGATAGAGAGAATGTTTTGATGTTTGTCAGATGGGAGGATGTTTGTCGAAATGGGTGAAGGGGAGAGGGATTATGAGGTAAAAATTACTAGTTACAAAATAGTCATGGGGATGTAAAGTATAGCTTAGGGAATATAGTCAATACTATTATAATAACTATGTATGGTGTCAGATGGGTACTAGATTTAACTTTGTAAGTTATTAGACATGTTTAATCTCTATGTTGTACACCTGACTAATATAATATCATATGCTAATTGCAATTGAAAATAAAAAATATTTTAAAAAGACATAAAATATAAATTATTTTTGATAAATCAGTCATTCTTTTTTCCCATAAATCTAGGAAAGAAAAATTTCTCTTAGTTTCTCATTTAATGCGCTTTCTTCCTCTTAGTTATGTAAAACTTCCAAAGATATAAACATCTCTATATGCAAAGAAGCAGGGTGGCAGTATATGGGATGTCTTACATCTTTCAGTTCTAAAGAAAAAATTTTGTAAATTTATTTTGAATCTGCTGAATTCTAAAAGAAAGCCAATTTGAAAGATTAAAAAATATAACGTAAGTGACCATACTATCTTATTTGAAACTAATAAGGGAATATAGTCAATACTATAAAATTCTAAGTGGAACTAAGATGATTGGAAAGGAGAAGGAATAACTCTGCCTTCCCTAAGCTTTGACGGTTTGAAAGTAGATAAAATTTGACAACCCCAAAGAGAGAAGAAGTTTAATGTGTCTTCCCACATGTCATCATGTTAAAGATCATCATAGAGATTTAAAGTCGTCCATATCCCTAGAAGGTAGAAAAACTTAATTATGATATCATTCTTTTTATTTTCGCTTGCCTCCCCTTTCTCTCCCGCTCCGCCACATCTTCCCAATTCTACTGATTACTCCTGCCCCTTATTGGTTACTTATACCAGATCCTCAGTGATTTCCTCCCCACAACCATATATCTAGTTCTCTTTTCTATATTAGAAATCTCATAAAATATAGGTTTTGTATTGATATGTTGCTCTTTTTTTTTCCCCCAGGGCAAAGAAAATACCCAGAAATGTGTTCCTGATATTCCTTGCTAACTTTAACCCACTGTGTAGATCAAGTTAGGAAATGGTGAGAACATTTTGGGTCAGACCATGATGTGTTAATGCTGACGAAATGCCCACTTCCTGAGGATTTTCACGTAACATTATTGTAAATTTCTATATGTCTACGGAGTCCTTTTCTCTAGGACTATGGTCAAATGGGTGTGAGACTGGAAATTTTGGTTACCTTCAGCCTGGGTAAATTGACATGCACAGAAGGCAGTTTCTGGGTTCTATCAACACAATGTCACTGTTTCCCTGAATTGATAGATGGGGCTGCTTGGACTTTGCAACCTGGCTCTGGGTTTTTGTAGCTGCCACCCTCTCGACCCTCCCATTCCATTAGTGCTGGAGGCTAGCTTTGGCCTCCTGCACTCTGAGAAGAGAGGGTAAAGATCTTAACTTACCCTACAGCAGCCACAACACTGACAGTCTACACACACCGTCCCCAGGAGACCATTGACCACCTGGATGGCACAGAGCAGCATCTGCATCACTGCTACAATGAGCAAGATGGAGAAAAGTGTCAGATTCCAGGAAATCACGTGTTCAGGCTCTCGGCATTTGCTCCATAAGTCTTTGTCACTGAGATAATCCCTGCAGGAACATGAGAGAGGAAAAGTGACATCTATAAAAAGAAGATAATACCCTAGAATCGGAAGACATCATCATAATTTTTCTTTTGCAATACTTTATATCCAAAATATAAGCTCAATAAGAAAAAATATCATAATTTCAACACTTTCAAAAACAATATGTAAAATTTTTATTGACTATATATTATGTGTTAGACTCTGTTCTACACACTTTACACAAATTCATTCATTTATTTCTCAAAGAAAACGGATGGTTCTTTTCTTTCATTTCACAAATAAAGATATTGAAGCACGGAGAAGTTAAGTGACTTGCCCCTAGGTCACACAGCTACTAAGGGACAGAATGATTTTTATGAGCTGACCAAGAGAATGAGTAAATTCAATCAATATTTATTATAAGGCCTGGAAAATGAAGACACTTCAGGAGTAGAATCTCACACATGTTCATGACTTTTATCCCACCTACTGTCATTAGAGATCATTTGAACTTTTGACAAATTATCTATCAAGTCTACTGGCCATCTGAAGCCATGTAAAGTACAACAGTGTCATATAGTTATAGAGAAGAGCTCGATCTTTTTAAAGGCCTAATTCTAGCCTTAAAAATTGCAAATTAAAAAAAATATTGTGAATTTAACTGTATTTTTGTTAACATATTCCACATGCAAAAAGATTTAATTAATTAAAAGCAATAATAACCTGTTGCCTTAATATATATTTTACAAAGACTTTAAAATGGAGAAACTGCTTAATATGTTTATAAAATAAGTATATTAGGAGTCCACTGCAATATACAGGGCAGTTTATATTGAAGAAATGTGAAGTTACGCTATCTGTGATGGAGAAATGTGTAGTTATGCTATCTTCAAGACCAAAATAACAGTAAAGTGGGTCAATCTTATGGATTATTATCATTCCTTCTCACATTCTTAGAGTTATAAATTGGTATTCCCCTCTTCCTTTGTGCACCCTCTATTCTCCCAAGGCCTCAGTGGGAAATTCTTCATCTGACTATTAAATTAAGTTGCCTTACGGTTTTTAGATCTTTTTGATAACTCTTGTTTCTGATGAATTCTCCAGTGGACCAGTACACACTTATATAAGGACATTCTGTATTAAAATCTAAAAAGTCTTTGCAATGATGGAAGATGCCTTGGCATTTAATAAAGCAGAAGGAATGAAAGTACAAGCATTTCGTTCTCGATTTAAATATAGAACGTTTATAGCATCGATCCACCTTTCCATAAGGCACAGGTTCTAGCTGCTCACTAGCTGTGTGACTTATCTGTAAAACGGGACTAACATTGTCTGTCAAACCACAGTTATTGTGAAGATTAAATGAGTTAATACTAGTAAAGTGCTTAGGACAGTGCCTAGTGTGTAGTAAGTGCTCAATAAGCACTAGTACTGTTATTGTTACTTTACTTAATCTGAACTGTCTGATTAAAGGAAAGGGCCTGGTATTTTGGATTCCAATGAACTTGGGTTTGAACGCAAGCATTCCTCTTTCTAGCTGTGTATTCTTCATACAAGTTACTTATCCTCACCCCACATCTCCACCGGAGCATCAGTTTCTTCATCTATTAGACAGGCTGAGAGCAACCTCACAATTGCGACAGTTCTCTGAGAGAATATACCTTTTGTATTGTTCTACAAGAGTTCTTTTTGGTATTTATTATTTTTAAAGTCTTGTTCTGTTCTGCATTTTTCCATGTAGTTTTATCTATCTTCACAATTTTTAAACGTGATGATGACAAGAGGTTATGGAGAGACAGTAGTTTTCAGTCACCTTTTGTAAAGAAAAGACCCCAAGATGAAGTGACTGGCAATCCTGAGTTCTTTCCCTCTCCTGAAGAGTTTGTACAGTGGCAAGATGACAGCCCCTCCTGGTGGTGAGATTAGTAAAATGCTCATGGGGGAACTTGGAAGCAAGGATTGAGTTTGGGTGCCTAGAGCAATCCTCTCAGCCCCACTCCTGCTGCTGCCTCACCCTTCACAAACCACCAGGATATCCCATTCCCGGCCCTTCTTCTCTCCCCGCCAAACTCTCAGGTTTTGAGACTCAGAGATTGCGGCATTGATCGCTGCGTCCAACTCTCCAACTTCCGGGGAGAGGGGGCCCTGAGTTATCATGGGCCTGGTAGCTAAGCACGTTTCCACATTCTGTGAAGCAAGAGGAGCTGAGGCAGTGTACATAACTGCAGTTTACTCCACCGCAGTTTTAAAGCACGCCAGTCTCGCGAAGGACACTTCCACGTGAGCTGCAGTAATCCCAGCATCATCGGAACAGAATGCCATGGATTCCATGCAACTCACTTCTTGCCAGCATCTAAGGCAGCTGAAGGAAGGAATAGGGGGGCCCGAATGCTTGCCTGGCCCACTCTGCCTGGTAATTCAGGTGCCACCTCTTCCTCCGAGACAGAGTCCTGATGCTCCTCCTGCCCTTGGCTGGCTTTGGTATCCCTTCTGTGCTTCCCAGCACTCTGTGTCGTTCATTGATTGTCCATCTGTCTTCAGTGTGGGACTGCACACTCACCAGAGCAGAGACCATGTCCCCTACCTCTGCCCCCATTTCCAGCACAGGGAGTGTGTTCAGTAAATAACAGCAGCTTTTGTGTATTGTGATCTGCTCATGTGCCAGGCACTGGGCTAGCTGCTTTATGTCACCTTCCCCAGTCCTCCCAGGAGGTGGTGCTTTCCTTGGCCAATGCCTGGCATGGAGTAGCCTTCAGGAAACTGTCTTTGAATAAATGAACATACGGCCGTATGCAGATTAGAAATTGAATCTAGAAATGGAAGTGCCTGGATATGATCCTGGGTCTGTCTGACTCCAAAGCCATCCTCTTAACAATTACACAAATCCCTCTATAGTATATTCGAAATATGATTTATTGATGAAACATATAAATGCCTCTATAATAGTGTGTCAATCAAGGTTTACTTATAAATGTGATAAAGAGATTATTCTCTGAATCTTCATGTGACTGCTTGAAGAGATTGAATTAAATTACAAAATCATTATAAAAGCATAAGTTACCTGCAGCAATACTTAAAAATAAAAAAAAAGGAGTCTCCTATTCCCTAAAGTGAGATAATGAGAGCTGGGCATCCATCTCATAGCATCACAAGCAGCGTGTGAGTGTTCCTGGGGGAATGTTAGGCCCTTAACGCCAGACATATACAACCATTGTACTGCCTTGAAATGTTACTTAACATCTGTTGTGTTTACTTTCTCCCTTTTTTGTTTGGCCATAGATTTACTCTAATTGATTTTAAGTTCATCAAGGATAGTATATCATTCATGTAACAGAATAAATAGAAAAACATATTTAGTAATGCCTTCATGGTGTCAGAAATAATAGAAGCAGGGTCCTTGAAAGAAGATGTAAACTGTAGCTTCACAGCCACACCCTTAGGTGGGAGAGTGTGAGGCATGAGGGGAAGAACCTCAGGAGATGGTTCAGCCTTCTGGTGTCTAAATACTATGCTCAGGCAAGCCAACCCCATGGCAGAGGGGACTCGACAGTCCTGTGTTAGAAAAGAAGACTTTCACAGTAAAGCAAATACAGTTGTGAATCACTACATGTGATATGAGGATATTGGAGGCCTTATACTCCTGTTTCACTATAGAGTAGGGTAGAAATGGTATTATATATGAAACACTTGTGAACAAACCGAGACCTCAGATCATAACAGAACGAGTACTGACATCTCTCCCATCTGAAGCCCATTCTGAGGTTCTTCAGACTCTCATTGTAAACTAGTAATAGAAATGAGTTCAGAAATTGGTGTCCTATAGGTTTTCTAGGCATAGACCCATCATTCATGTGCAGCAGGACCCAAAAACCATATACCCTGATCCTCTAGTTGTCAGTCACTGTGCTCGGTGGATGGGCTGCCATGGTGAACAAAATGGAACAGTCCCAGGCCTTGTAGAGGTTAGAGTCTACATAGCACTATCTAATAGACTGTCTGTGACGAGGGGAATGTCCTAAGTCTGTAACATTCAATACAGTCACTACTAGCCATCTGTGGCCATCGAGTGCTTGAAATAAGGCTAATGTGACTGAGGAATTTTTAACTTTATTTCATTTAAATGAATTTAAATTTAAATATCTACATAAAGCTACTGGCCACTGTATTGGACAGTGCAGTCCAGAGGGAGAGGATGTGTAATGCAAAAAGGCTGAGACTGGAAGTCAGGATGTATGAATTTGAGACCTGCCTCTGCCCTCAACCAGCAGTGTGACTTTTAGCAAGTCAAACTGGATAAGCCTGCTTTGGCAGGGAGCAGCTTCTTCTTGGGGTTGCTATGGAGATTAAATGATAAATTTGTGAAAAAAAGGTCTTTATAGACTACAAAATATCATGGAAATTTGAAGTGCTATTTTAATGAGATCTGTTAACATTAACTCTCATGAAGAATCTAGTGTTTCCAATGTCATTTGCACCTTAAAAAAGTCCTTTAGTTATAGACCATTCAGGGTATTAGTGAGAGGCTTTAAGCTTTGTTAGTGAGTAATTATTCTCGTTTTCAGTTATAAGATTTGCAATGGAAGCCACTACTCTCTGTTTGTTAATATCATTAGTTGCCTCCTGTTGCAGCTAAAATTTTGGATGCAAATGGTAATACCACATATCACCACAAATCTCCTTTGTTCAGGCTAGCTGAAGAACCCTCTTTCATTATTTTTCCTGATCTCTGTCAAAATAGCAGTTAGAGGTGAGGTCTTGTGCAACTTCACTCCACTCAATAACTCTAACTCTGTTCAAAGGAGCAACATGCCTGAAACTTGTAGAATCAGATGACAGTGTTGTACAGTGCCTCCCCTTTGGTCCATTTACCTGCCTGTGCCCCTTGTGGTGACAAATGGGCATTGTAGAAAGTATCTTACCCATTGTGGAAGGGATAGCCCCATTCATTATTGTCCATGAGACATTTAGGACCCTTCTTGATTGAGAAAGCAGAGGTGATAAATGAATATCCAGCACCCAAGAATCCAATCACAGCAAATAGTATGGAGGCAAACATCTGAAAAAGGAGAAAGACAGCCAGGTTCTCGAGGTGGTCCACAGGTTGTACTCAGCACACCTACCCAACCTGTTGTTGAGCATGGTCACTACAAGAACATTACGAGGTAGGAAGCAGTGTTTACAGGACATAGGGCCTGTGGGGTCTCCTAGAATGATTTTAGGATCACATGGCAGGCGGGTTCTGCTTATGAGAAAGAGTAGATGTCTAGAAATTCTCCTCATTGGTCATAGTTACATTCCTTGAGGTCAAGAGAATTGAGTTCAACCTCTCTTCCACGTGGTGGCAGACTTTAAAATATCTGAAGACATTAAATATCTTAAATAAGCATATTTTATATTTAACATCTCTTCATCCTTTCTACCCTCTAAAACTTTTCTCTTCTCCGGATTAAATAAGCCCAACATTCCACTCCTTTTAAATGTTTTTATATGACAGAGAGATTACTTAGTGAAAAATAGATTGTACTAGTATTTTTCTTTTTCATTTATAAAATTAAAAAAATTAGGCAATGTGAAAGGCCGACACAACCCTAGAGCCCATCCAGACGAACTCTCTCTTACAGATGAAAAAATTAGGTCCAGAGATGCAATGTCCATTCTAAACGGTAATAAGAAACGAACGTGAAAACAATATTTTGGAAATAGAGGTGGAAAATTATCACCTCTATTACTATTACTTTGGGGACATGAAAGTGTAGTGCAAAGCACATGATTTTAAAGGTCAGCAGACCCAGGCTCAAATCTCAGCTTTGCCACTTTTCTCTGTGCGATGACTCTAAATAATGGATGCTTCCCCAGAATCTTAGTTGTCTCGTCTATAAAATAGGCATGAGGAAGCCTACCTAAAGCTCTCCTGTGAAAATTATATGCGCTAACCTAAGTTTAATGTCAGATACATCCCTTCTCCCTCCGTGTAGTACTAACAGTCTCATCACAGTATACATTTGGGGGTGGGGTTTGGGAGTGGAGAGAACCTGATTGTGCCTGGGCAATCAAAACCTATGTAATCCTGGAATTCCACTTTAGGTCGTATTTGTTTTCAAATCACATATAAATGTATCTTTGGAGCAACTTTCCAGACTGAGCTTAGGTCCTAGGTGCTTTATGAAACCTTGTCTGAATTTCCATGTAGAACCTCCCTTTCCCTCCTTCATATCTCCCACCCCAGGTACTCTGACTGTGTATAATTCTATCACAGCACAGTGCCTACAACACATTAATGTGTAGCTTTCTAAGTCTGTCATCCCCAACCAGAACATAAACTTCTTGAAGCCATGGATACAGTGAATTATGTGAAACTAGTTAGGACATTGTTCTGTTTTTCTTCTTCCTGACTTATCAAAGGCACTGGGTAACTACCTTTTGGATGTTTTCAATGACTAAGGTATTTTGTTATTCATTACTTCGATTTTTTTCCTTTGATTTTTATGTTTAAGGTACCCTAAATTCACTCTCACCATCAAGAACATTTGTGAATAGGCCTAAGAAATACTACAAACATTTTTCAGAAGGATATAGTTTAATATTCATTTATATAAAAGGTTTGTGCCAGTGTAACAGATACAGTTTTTACAATTGTGTTTTTGGGGGGGAAAAATAAGAACATTTGTGAGTATAATTTAGGTCAGAAGTAAATGAAAAATTTTGGTCAATTTATCATGTTAGAGCAGGCTGTCTCTTTTCCAAAGGATGTCTTGTTGAATAATTTTGGAAACTGATGAATTACATAAGGTTAAATAGGTTTCATTCCAGTTGTACTTCTTTGTGATATGCTAATGTATGTGAACTTTCAAGAAGGGGACGTACTATGTAAGCAGGA